TGATTTTCAAATGGAGGGGATTATATACGATTCTTCTAGTCTTTATAGTGGTCTAGTAAGTGCGATAACATCGCAGCTTATGATAGATGTATAATTATTTATTGTATGAAATGTGCATTAAGTGAGTTTGAAAGTTGTTATGAAATAAGTTGTCTTAATGATATATGTATGAAATGTATATTAAGAAAGTATGAAATTTGTATGAAAGCGAGTCCAGTAATCTAAAAAAAAGTTATTTGAAATTTTGACGAATTGTATGATAAGTGTTTTAAGGTTGTATTAATTTTGAAATTTTATTGTTGACATTTTTGTATAAATTTGTGTGACATTAATGAAGTATTTTCATAAAAAAATGTACATATTTGATGTATGAAATTTGTATTAAAATAGTATGAAAGTGTTTGGAATGTACTATTTGAATTATATCTGTATGAAATGTTTTTTGATTGAATATAAAAAATTGTTTTGTAATGTTCTGTCTGTCTGAATGATAATTGTATTTCGAATTGTTTGTTTATAATGTGAGACTAATTTATATTTTTTTTAAATGAAACATGGAATTATGTTGATTTTCAAATGGAGGGGATTATATACGATTCTTCTAGTCTTTATAGTGGTCTAGTAAGTGCGAATAACATCGCAGCTTATGATAGATACTAATATAAATGATTTAGAGATATTAAGTGGGTATGAAATCTGTTTTGTAGAGTACTGTCTGAATGATATTTGTATGAAAAGATAATGACAAGTGTGTATAATTTTGTTATTATAATGAATTTTGTGGATGAAATTTGTATGTTCTTTGGATGACTAATTGTTTTTTTTTTAACGAAACAGGGAAATATGTTAATTTTCAGATGGAGGGGATTATATATGAATGTTCTAGTTTTTATAGTGGTCTAGTAAGTGCGATTAACATCGCAGCTTAATGATAGATGGTGATATTAAATGATATAGAGATAAAATATATACTTAAAAAATCATTAAGTAGTCCACATTTAAGACCAGTTTATCGTTTGCGAAATTCCTTGATTCCAAACGTAATTCTGTACCATTTATTTTCACAACAAACATGTCGTCTCTGACATTTTCAGATTCAAGAATCATCAAATGCCACAATAGTTGACATTGAATCTTTATGTTGTGCATGTCATAAAATACACGAAAAGGTGTTTGTTCCAGAAATTGTTGAAACCTCTCTTGCTCGAGGAAAACCAACAGATCAACAAACACATTCATGTTTGTACATGAAGACCAGTGTGTATCTTCCTTGCCTATAAAATAAAATTATGTATACTAAATTAAAACATACTTCATACAAGTATTATTCATGTTTCATACACATGCTTATAGATAAATTTTAGTAATGCCTTATACCATATTTATAAAAAAATTCACACCAATTTTATTCAAACATCATACCATTTTCATGTGCACTATGGCATTCATCAATCTACTTTCATAAATTTATCGACATACGCTAAAAATAATTTAACAATTTTAATACATTAATGATAAAATTGAAAAAAGAAACCTTTCTTAATAGGAAAAAATCCCAATTTCATATAAAAATTATTCAAAATTTATACAAAAACAGAGTAATTAAACAAGTCATACAAATTGCATACCAAGTTAATAATTCATACCATATACACAATTAAGAGACAATCACATCAATGTTATTATGCAATTCATACCATTTGCATATCAATATTGTATCAAAATTCATACAATATCCATCAATCAAACATTAAATTCAGATTCATACACATTTTTTTCAGATTTCGAACAATTTTTACACAAACAAATATTTCGAAAACAACAATAAGCATAATGTGATATAAAAAAAATCACTATTTTAACTAATGTGAAAATAAATTAAATATAATACTTATCCTAACAACTTTTTTTGTGTTTTTGGTATGTTGATATTTCTGATTCCTTCTTTTTTGTTGTTCTTCTTGTTGATGGTTTTGAAGATTGAGCAACTTCTACATTTGTTGTTTTTTTCTTTTTGATTTCACTAGCAAAATCAGAATCGTAATCAGAAGGGGTTTCAATAATTTTCCCCTTCCTCTTCTTCCCCTTTTGATTTGCCTGGATTGCCCTTTTCTTTACTTCATTTTTTTTCTCTTTCCGATCCTTCAACTGAGATGAACCACCCGTTGCCTGATTTTCAATATTCGCCGGATTTTCAACAAATTTAGGCGGGGGGTTGAGTTAATATATTAAAAGTTGGAGCATGAACTTCATCAGTAGAAGTTCCTTCAACCAATCTGGGACTCTTTCGAGGCGTTTCAATGGGTTTCTTAGACATGAGACAAGGTGAAAGTGGGGTAGTGGGGGTGATGGCGTGTAGATTTGAATAGGCGTGGGTGGAGGGTGGTGGGATTGAGGTATAGGAGGTTTGGAGTGTAACATTAAACAAGGAAGTCTAATCTATGTAAATCCCTTAATATGTGTAACTGATGATTTCAGTTTTAAAAAAGGAATTGAAATCAAATTGATTAAATATTATTAATTAATAATATAAAAATATAAACAGATTAATCATTTATTAAATAAATTGAAATTGATTTTTAAATTAAATTAAATTTAATTGATATGTCATAACCCGTAAATAAACTGTTATAAGTAAGAATTGTTTAAAAATATGTTTAAAACCCGTAAAGTTTACTTTTAAA